TTATTAATTATGCAAGATCTTAAGAAAAACTATTGAAGGACGTGTAACTTGTATTAAAAAAATCTTATAATGTGGATGAATAGTCTGATTTCTTTATAACGTGAGTTATTTTACTTCAAAGTTAGACTATGAACGAAATCGTAATATACGAGTAATGCCCGTTGATTGGCCGCCTTAGTTCAACGATTATCTATCTGTTTTGATCATGAGTTGATAAAACGGTTTCTGATTGGTTAATTATCATATGATAAACCCGTGTTTTTCCGAAAAGTGAGAAAAGTCCCAAATTTTATTATTCATACCTCCTGCAGATTTAGCTTTTTTTTTAAACTTTGAGCGAAGATATCTCAATAATTACTAAGCCAAATTTAATAAACTTTTTTTTCTTTGAATTATATAGATTCATAGAATTCAAATAAAAAAAAGTTCATCGAATTTGGCCCAGTAGTTACTGCGATATCATCGATCAAAGTTTGAAAGAAAATCAAAACGTCTATTAAAACAATTTCTTTAAACTTTGAACGAAGATATCTCAACAACTACCAAGTCAAATTTGATGAATTTTTTTTTGTTTGAATTCTACGAATCTATAGAATTCAAATAAAAAAATTTCTATTAAATTTAATTTAATAGTTATTGAGTTATTTTTGCTTAAAATTTTAAAAAAAATTTAAAACGTCTTTTATCAAAAAAGCTGTCAATTTTTTTTAAGCTTTGAGTGAAAATATCTTAGCAATCACCAAGTAAATTTAATAAACCTTTCTTTGTTTGAATTCTATGAATTCATAGAATTTAAATAAAAAAAAAGTTCATTAAATTTAACTTGGTGGTTTTTCACTCAAAGTTTGAAAAAAATTGTGATACAGCTTCATCAAATTTTAATAATTTTTTTTTATTTGAATTCTATAGATTCATAGAATTCAAACAAAAAAAAGTTCATCAAATTTGACTTGGTAGTTGTTGAGATATCTTCGCTCAAAGTTTAAAGAAAATTTTGCAGTTTTGTTTTGATAGACGTTTTGATTTTTTTTTCAAACTTTGATCAAAGATAACGCAGTAACTACTGGGACAAATTCGATGAACTTTGAATTCTATGAATTTATAGAATTTAAAGAAAAAAAGTTTATCAAATTTGACTTGGTAATTACTGAGATATCTTCGCTCAAAGTTTAAAAAAAAGGTAAATCTGCAGGTAGGTATGAATAATAAATTTTGGGGTATAAATCTAGAACTCTATAATTAATTATCAAACTTTGTATATTTATATTTATCACGTACGTATAAACATGTGAAACACCAAGATAGTAATTATATTTGCATAAGTCTTCCTTTTATTATTATTAAATTCTTTTAATTTTAAAATTTTTTTTAAAATTTTTGAATTTTTTTTGTTTTAAAAAAAACTTATTGTATGTGGGATTATTAATTACATAAGGAGAAAGGCTTATTGCGTAAAGTTAAAAATCGTAATGGTTGTGTTTAAACATATACATATGGGGGATTTAAATTTTTACAATTAAAACAAATTTACAGTTGCTTTTTTTTTAGGGGGAAGAAATTTACATATAAAAAAAATATATACATCAATCGTGATGTACTATTCGAGTTTTCATGCATGATTTGCGCATCTTCCAGTAGTGGTAAACAGCGCATAAATTATATAGGTACCCAATTAAAAAAAAAAAAAAGGCGATATCAAAGTTGTCGACTAAGAAGTCGATTGAATTGTAGAAATAATTTCGACTAAACTTCAAAAACTACAAACACACCCTATCATCACACTCCTCTCCTCAATTTCATCCTCTGTAACATTACAATTCTCCTAAATCTTCTACCAAACTATCAGACCCACCCTCCAACTAATTCCGGAATCTTCAAAACAAATACTATTAAGATGTTTAAGAAAAAATAGCGAATTAATTTAAAGGGAGGATCCAAAAGATGGAGAAAATAGAGAAAAAAAAAAAGGAAATGAAAAAAAAGAAAAGAAGTGGGAAGAGTGTTGCTTGGAGAAATTAAAAAGGTCGATGCAACATTAAAATACCAAAATAAAGTTCTTTTTTTTTTTTTTTTTTTTTCTTTTTTTTTTTTGTTAAATTGAACATTTTAAAAAAAAAAAAAAAAAAAAAAAAAAAAAAAAAAGATAATATATAATACAAATAGAAAAAAAAAATTAAAAATTTTTTTTCTTTTTTTTTGCCATAAAACCCATTTCCCAAATATAAATATATTAACATAAAAAAAATAAAGATAACCAATAAAAGATTTAGTTAAAATCGTTAAACCCAGTATAGTGAATACCGATAAATGGACAACCAAGACATTAGTAAGAGGAGATACAACATGTAGAAAAGTGAATTACACATGTGTATTATAAACAAATGTTTGAAAAATTATCGGAGATGCTAGGCCAGGGTGGATTCGACGATCACATGAGTGACACGATACGGATCAATATTTGAAGCCGGACGTCGATCTTCCAGATAGCCTTTCCCTTCAGCAGCAACATGTCGCGGTATACGAATTGAAGCGCCACGATTTGCAACACCATATGAGAATTGAGATATGTGCCCTGTCTCGTGATGACCCGTTAGACGTTGATCATTATCTTCACCATAAACAGCTATATGTTCAGCATGTCTTGTTGCCATTTTATCAATAGCATCATGTATTGCTTTAATGCCACCTTCCTCACGCATGGCCTGTGTTGAATAATTCGTGTGACAACCTGCTCCATTCCAGTCACCTTTTATTGGTTTAGGATGGAAAGATACCACGGCACCGAAATCTTCGGCAACACGCTTCAGCAGAAATCTTGCCATCCAAAGATGGTCACCCATATTGATCCCTTCACATGGGCCTACTTGGAATTCCCATTGTCCTAAAGATTAAATGAATAAAGAGAATAAAGTAAATAAAATGAAATCAAATAAAATCAAATAAATTATATTATTTATATATTATAATTACCAGGCATGACTTCTGCGTTGACACCAGAAATTTTAACACCAGCATAAAGACAAGCGCGGTAGTGAGCTTCAACAATATCACGGCCAAAAGCTACGTTAGCACCGATAGAACAATAATAAGGACCCTGAGGACCGGGGAACCCTCCCTTAGGCCAGCCAAGAACACTGCCTTCCATATCAAAGAGGGTATATTCTTGCTCAATACCAAACCATGGATGAGCATCAGTATGAGTTTGCATAATTTTATGACACGAATGACGATAATTTGTTCTATTAGGAGTTCCATCATTATTGTAACATTCACAAAGAACAAGAATATTATCGCCACCCCTGAAAGGATCCTTAAATATAGCAGCAGGACGAAGCAAAACATCAGAGTTATCACCAGGAGCTTGGTTGGTAGAAGAACCATCAAAATTCCATTCTTTCAGTTCAGAAACGTCAGCGGGTTTGTTGTCGAGAGTAGTGGTCTTAGCACGGATGCCGCCATCGCCATCGATCCAAATGTATTCGGCTTGGACTTTACCTCCTTGGTCGAGGGCAAGGTATTTAGCAAGGGTTTGAGTGTTGGATTTGTTGCTGATAGACATTGTCATTAAAAAAAATTATTCTTTTGATTGAAAAGACTAATTTGATATTTGTTCGTTAAAAAAAAGTCGTAACAAAAACAATAATTATACTGGGAAATGAGTGGTTCTTGACTATATTGACTATATTGATAATCGACGCCTGGTATTGGTGGTTCTTGATTATATTGACTATATTGATAATCGACGCCTGGTATTGGTGGTTCTTGATTATATTGGCCATGTTGATAATCGACACCCGGTATTGATGGTTCTTGATTATATTGACTATGTAGAAAGTGAAATCTCTATATTTAAATATAAAAATTTTATATTTATTTATTTATTTAATAAGTACATACTGACCTATAATACATTGAATAAGGATATGAATAATAATAATCCGAATATGTGTAATTGGTATGATCATACTTTTGTGGATAGATGTTTGTGGGTGGCAATGATGAAGATGATATGGATTCTGTTGTAGAATGTGCTGATGGGAAGGTGGTGGTAGCATTAAGTGTTGTCAATTTGACATCTAAAGTAATAATTCAATCATTAATATTAATGAGTTTTATAATTTTTATAAAAATAAATAGATATATATAATACCCTTATCTTTATTTTCATCATGTTCGCGAGTCTTGATTGCAACAACATTGCGCCTATCCTGTAATTTTTGTCGTGTATCTTCGATAGTTTCATATTCAGGTCCGTAACGTACTCTTAGATAAGCGCTAAAGAAAAAGTGATCATCAATCTTTCTTTTTGCTACTCTATATAATTGAGATATTGTGAATTTTTTAAATCTTAAAACAGTTTCCTTTTTTTTTCAAAAATTACCTAGCCTGAGCAATTGATTGAAATTTTATCCAATATACATCTGTAAATTTTTCACATGGATAATCATCTAAATACCGATATCTAAGAATCAAAATTTTTTTTTTAGTCTTGTGTAAAAAAAAAATGTTTAAAATAAAAAAACTCACTCTTCAATAGCTCCATAAAGGGAAAAAAGTTCTATTAATTCTTTACTTAGGCCCAACGCCGGTACATTTTCTACAACTAAATATCTATTAAAAATATTTTAAAAATATTTTTGATCAACTCGATAACTTGTGAAAAATTTTCAAACATCATATTTACTTGGACTCGTGGTTCACAGTATAAATCTTGACAGCGGTTGGTTTGCGACCAGCTCTATATTTTGGTCTTTCGGGTGGTACTAATTTATAAGATGTAGATAATGTTAATATTAATCTAATCAAAATTTTATTCGGGAAAGAATTTAATAAACAAACTTACCATCAGGATCACTCATCTTTCGTCTCGAAAAAAAAACAAGATTGCCAAAAATAAAAAACCATCATATTTATATGGAAATAGTTAAATTCTGATTGGCATAGTATCACAAACTTCTTGGCATAACAGCATAATGTATTATTGTGTCATGCTTATCCTTTTCGATTGATTGATTACATACGTATCCACTTTTGTTACCCCTGTAGCTTTATACTAGGATAATTTAATTATTATTATTATTATTATAACGATAATATATATCTAGTGTATTTTAAAATACCGTATTGATATCAATAAATGACCATTAAGATTAAAATTATCTAAATAAAAGCTGGTGTATATTCTAAAGAGGAGGGCGGTTTAGTCCACGAGTATTATAAAGTTATTAGTAAAAAGAAATGGTAATATATTATATCTCTTTCCGAACTAGTACATGTTAATTCTATAATCATTAATAGGCTGTACTAACTCAAAAGAATGATAATAATAACAGATGTTACGGTAGGTAAATTGGTTCACCATAAAATAGTCATCAAGATATACAATCGCGATAGCTTTATATCGATATACGTTAACTTGTTGATCGTGGCGTTTTACGGTGATGATTCGAAAATTGAGCAATTTTTATCGTTATTAATACATATTACATGTGGCAGACTATTTGATATTATTCTTTCCAATAATGAATTAATTTGGACAAGTCACAAGGCATACCCGAATGGTGCTGCTATCCATTGAGTTATTTGGAGCTCCATTGAGTCTATTCGAGTGTATTAATATTACACGTATAATCAAATTTCAGATTAGTTATAACGCAACTTTAATTTTCAATTTAAAGCTTTAAGAGGTGATAAATAATATTATTTGATTTTCGTGGTTTAGTGATAATCCTCCCACAGTTTATAATATTAGTGGCGCATGATCTAAAGTTTAATATACTCATATGTACCATATGGGAGATATAGTTGATTTAGCGCCTTATGATTTGCCGGTCATTCTTCTTTAGTAAAATAAATATCTTGATTCAAACTATAATTTCACACTACTAAGTTAATGCAAGTAATTCCTCTGTGCGTTCTTTGAAGTATTTTGTTAGGTTTAACTAATCGTTTTTATATGAAAAATAAAATGGCTGCTATTTCTGAGAGATGTTAATGGTTTAGATGTTATTAATCTATATATATTAAGAATAATGACCGACAAAAAAATCCTTATTGGAATCTCGACTATGCTTGTATATACATGTCAAGTTTTCTGAGTTTAAGTTCGGTATAGTTAAAATTTAAATCCATACTTATAGATTTTTCCTTAGCGTTAACACCACCCCGTATTATATTAAATACCCAATTAGAAATGCGACAACAGAGAATATATACTTGCATAACATAAAACGACAAATACTTTACTTTATAATGATCAAACTACAAAAAACATTTGGTGTTGAACATCTATTCTGCACTGCTTAATCTAAAATTTACACTCCGTAATTCGAGCCATTTAAAACGCCACAATTAAAGACATTGATTCGCTAAAAAGAAATTTTCATAACCAAGGTTCTGGTGATTATCTTTAGATATAGCTCACCATCTACCACGAAATAGCAAATCAATCTTAAAGAGTTCTGAATCGAAGATATAACGATCTAGCCCTCAATCATACTACCATCTGTTTCCATGAATACCTCACAAGAAACCCTATAAATCCCATGTCTTCTAAGAATTTCTAGCGCGCTATTTGCAGTTAATTTAACGTGACCGGAGCTTAGAGTTTTGATACCAAGACATTGTCTGTAATTATTTCAAAAGTAAACTATTAATAAAGACCTTTTTTTTTGTCTTAAAAAAAAAAAAGAAAGAAAAAAAATTACTCTTGACAATATTTAATGAATTCGCGTTCCTCAGGCTCGACCGGAAATTTCGTAATCTGCAATTCCTCCATATCTGAGGCTATATGTTTACTTTAATAATATTATTATATTAATTTATATATTAAGGTGAAATTATTAAAAGGATTGATAATATTACTTTTGTTACGTTAGATTTGTTATGTAGGGTACCTGAGTGTGCTTTCTGATAGATTTCCCTTAGCACGCATGATATATTTACAAATATGATGTCGAAGACAATACCCTGCGCCACTCTGTCGCTGTTGAAAAATGATAAGTTTGTTTACTTCACAAATTTCTTCTTTAATCGATGCATCCTTACGATTCGATCGTTCGTGAGATGAATTATCAGGATTTGACTTAATGTTATAAACAGATATTAAAAAAATATATTATTACAAAATTACTAATTATTCTCATAAAAAATATATATCTATATATATTAATAAACTTCTAGATAATTCTAGATATTTACCCCGCCATCATGTTTAGCAATTGCGGCTGCTGCCGCAATGCTTGCAGCCCGAGGTACCTTGGGCATAAATGATTTCTTAAGTTCTATTGATGGTAAAAATGAATTAATTACATATTAAAAAGATCTAAATTTTTGTTATTAATAAATTACTCTTTTTATTCTTTTTATACCTGCTTTCAAGAAAGGCACCAAGTTGTTAAAGCTATTATTTTCAATGATATCAACTCCAAACGCAATATCGACATGCAATCGCTCCATAACTTGCACATGATACAAGGTTAAAGCGGGCTGTTGCATCACTAAATTATCAACTGTTTTAATAAAATCAAAGAGTTGATCAATTAGGTAAATTAAGACCGTTAATCTTTCCGAAAAATATTGATTTTATTAATTGTTTCATTTATACCATATCTCATTATAGCTCCTATTAATGATAAGATATTCAAAATTTTTGATTATTAGTCTTAATGAAAACGCGTGTGTCTACGTCTAGAAACCTAAAATTATATATATATTTGACAATTACTTGCAAGCTCGTCTCGGGCGCTTTCAATAATGTCACCTTGGGTTGTTTGAATAACACGTTCGGTAACTAAAG